CTTACCCTTGATCTAAACCTTGCACGAGGCTGGTTATACATGCTCATTAAACAGAATTAAATCACATAGGAATGCTGCTTGCTTGATGTCTTCTCTATTACAGAGCTATGCTTAGAAGTTAAGGGTTTTTAAGTGATTGTGTGGGCTTTAGCTAAGCTGCGAAAAAAGCCTTGTAAACAATAAGCCTTTGTGATGAAGGCAGAGTAAGTGTAATTATCACCTGTCCTATTAAAAATCTTCCCATTTTGGGGCATAACCAAACTAATCAGACAGTGTTGTGCTTTTCCAGATAACTAGGTGATCTTTAAGAGCAGCCCTGGGGAGCAAATGCAAAATGAGCAGCGGAAGACAGTGCAGAAGACACAGAGGGCTCTCAGTCTGAGCCACGAGGATTTGAAGATGTCTGCGTGCAGTGAGTTTGTGGAACACGTTTGGAAGCCTGGCTCCTGCAAAAACTGCTTCAACCCAAAGAGTTCCCATCGGCTGCAAACACCCCCAGATGTGGGAGCTTGTGGCGTGCTCCCGAATGGAGTTAGGACCAAGCCTGAGAGCCCTGTGTTGGAAGATGAAGGTGTAAATACCTCTCCCTTCTCAAAGCCAACAATTGCTGTGAAGCCAACTATGATAAACTCAGATGCTTCTGACGCGTGGGCGGATGTGAATATGAATGCAGATCTGTCACAGGTAATGATTAATCCAGTCAAAGCATGACTTCCCGTTACTTACCTCTCCTCGGGAGTGCTAGGAATATCTGTTAAAATGGTTTCCTTCCCTTTGTTTCTTCTTCTGGTCTTGACTGAGGCTTTTGAGCCATATATTGGCTTCTCAAAGTATCTTTGGCTGAAGCTGAATGAGCTGATGCTCACAAGGCATGTGCAAAGGAGCTTAAAAATACATTGTTTAGGAACGTCTGGATTTTAAATGAGGATGCAGGTTAAAGTTATTTTCCTGGGAAGATATACTGAAAAGAAGTCCTGTCTGGTTGCCGCCAGTGCTAACTTGATCCATGGTCTTTGTGAGTGGGGAGGAAAGTGCCCTACCTTTCTAGCCCAGCTCCTTGGGCTCCTAACCTTTGCCAGAGCAGTAATGCCCTCTGGGTGTAGCACTGCTGCCTGACTGCAAACTGGCAAGTCCTGGTGGTTTGAGTTGCAATCCAGGTGGGTCGTTCGCCACTCTCCCTGACCAGTTGATACCAACACTGCCCCAGCCACACAGAGTGAAGCAGCACGGGCTGCTGTCACCCTGGCTGTGGTGTAAGTGTGCTGGTATCTCCCATCCTTGCCCCAGAGGAGACCCAAGGCTCACCAGCTCTCTCCTTAGCCTCCCGTTGCTCTTCCCTTGTTTCTTTTCTACGGGTAAAGGGCACAGGAGCGCAGGCTGCTGTCGTTGGTGGGGTTTGGTCTGTACGTGCACATTTGGCCCCAGGCTGAGTTTTGTGCTATGGGAGCAGTTTCTACTACTCCTGGGATGGGGGGTTGCTTTGCTGGCACGTGTTACCCTCTGCCTCACCCACTTCTCCCTTGGCAAGCAGGATAGATCTCCCTCAGATGAAGCGATTTCGGATACATTTCCCCACCTGCTCCCCAGTCCCTACTGCTGAGCATAGCCAAGCTGGTGTCCCAGGATAACCTGCATCTTGAGTCGCACACTCCAGAGCAGCACTGTGAAATGAAATGAAAATAAGCAGAGAGGTGCAAATATTCCTTCCGTCTCTGAATCTTTAATTGCACGGTGATTCGCAGACAGGATGACAGGTTGGACATGTTTCTGGCAGTGAACCCATAGAAAGAGAAAGGAGAATGCCTTATTTTGCATTGCTATTGTTGGTAATGCAAGGATTGCAAATGGTCCAGGAAACAGGACAAGTGCAGTTTAAGTAGAAACGGCTTGCGGTAGTTATTGGTGGGGTGAGCACAGAGCAAAACAGATGGCAAATGCCAGAGGACTTTCCTGCGGCGCTGGGCTTTTTTTTTTGCCTTTTTTTTTAAATTTCTCTTTCATTTTGCATATGCATATTCTGACAATGCACTTGTCTCTTTGGCCCGTGCAGGTTGGCTGGGGCATGGTTTCTGGCAAACAACTCCTTCTGAAATCAGGAGATGCGCAGCGGATCTGCCTCGACAATTTTGGCAATGGTGGTGTGAGAAAACCTTTCCTTCACAACCCGTCCAGCGATTGCTTGTCTTGCTGTCCTCCTAGCTACTCCATGGTGGGCCTGCGCAGCCTGGAGAGTCGAGTGGAGAGAAATGTCTCCATCCACAGCCTGGTGCTTGTGGGTGAGGTGAGCAAGCAGGAGGACAGAGCCAAAGACAAGTTTGCCCTGCCGCATCGGGCCCCCTGCCCTAATCCGTCCACCTTGGGGGACAGAAGCACCACGAACTCCAGCAGAAGCCCTTCTTCCCAAGCCAGAGAAGGAGCAGCGCTCCCTTTGGAGGGTGACTGCGGTCGCCTCTCTTCTGGCTTTGAAAGTGAAGGGGGTGAGTACTGTTCAATCACGGACTGCTGCAGAGAGCGCCCCATGTCGTGGGAGCCGCGTTGCACAGAGGGGAAGGGTGCCCAGTGCGAGAAGGAGGGCCCTGCCTCCTGTGGATGGAGGCAGCGGGATGCTCCCGAGATTCCCAGGACAAGTGGCAGGGCAGTCAAGTTCAGTGAAGAGCACAGAGCTGTGAACGTGGCCTTCTGCATCACAAAAGACCAGGATGATCTTCTCCCCTATGCCCTGTGTTCAGAGAGGAAAAAACTGGCTCTCCATGATGAGCCTGCCGCCCTCCCTGAGAGCACAGGGAGCAGCAAGATGGCTGCCTTTGCCTTGTCCCGGGAGGACGAGGACTTGCCTCTACCTGGAGAGCCCCCTGTCACTGGAGGCCCTCGGCCTGAGGGTTCGAGCACCCCTCAGCAGGCTCTGGTGGAGCTTCAGCGCCCTCGCCTCACCTCGCCAGCCCGCGCTGATCCCATCTACGCCGAGAGCACCAAGAGGAAGAAGGCGCAGCTGAAGGCTGTTGGTGGACAGGCAAAAGTGGAAAAGCTGGCCCGCAGCACTGGCAAGGAGCAAGCTGATGGGACGTGGAGGGATGGCGGCTGGGCTTTGGGTGGTGAGAAGGAATACCAGGACTCTGCCGGCCAGGTGGCGGCAAAGATAACTGTAATGACGGCGCACACCGAGGATGATCACAAGACAATATTCCTCAGCAGCCCCGACTCAGCGGTAGGAGTTCAGTGGCCATGTATCAGCCCCACTTCCCACCCTGATTTTGGGACTTCATCACCTGCCATTGAGCCTGGAGAGATTTTTCAAGCCTCTGGAAGTGAGAACAGCCCAAGATTTCATCTGGCAGCTCCTGCCAAGACCTCAGTTACTGAGAGTCCAGCTATTCCCCCAAAGATGTCCAAAAACAGCCAACCAGGCAGCGAGGGGAACTGTGTGGCCCCGGTAAGCTCCCATGTGGTAAGGTTTGGTGATGACAACAGCCATGATGGAGCTGGTGTTCAGCTGCTGCCGAGGAGCTATACTGATACAGGCACCTTTGGGGCGTCCCCTTCTCCGTGCACTCATGTCAACGGGGTTTCTGTGGAGGAGTCCAGCAGAAGCCTGGCAGGCTCATCCTATGACAGGAGGCAGAAATACTACACCCCAACGTGGACCAAGCAGTGCCGGATAGAGGAGGAGGAAGAGCAGGAGGAGGAGCAGAAGCTCTTAACCCACCCATGGGCAGTGGCAGCTGAGAATGGAAGAGCTGGGGCTGACCTTGCGGATGATGGCCCAGTGCCGGAGAGCCAGACTGGCATCAGCAAATCATCGTCTTTCTCCTTTGACTTTCCTAAAGACAAGAGTAATGGCATGGAGTTTGCACCACCGCCACCACCACCACCGAAGAAGCAGTCCAGGTACAGCCCTGTGAGTGTATGCGTGGCAGTCTATTAACCATTTGCAACCGGGGCGTTTGCTGCAGGGATTCATTGACTAGGAGGTGCTTCCTCTTCTTTTTTTCTTCCTTTTCTGTTCAAAGGTGGGCTTTTAGGAGCATGGGAGGTTATTGCATGGATGAAAAACTACTTACTTACCTTTTTACCCTGAAAAGCTGTCAGATCTTTGCAAGTCCTGGTTCGAATGCCATGTGTACTTGCAAAAGCACTTCAGGGCTGCAAGGTACGGCCTTGCATCCCAATATTCAAGTGAGAGCAAGATCTGTGTCCGGGATGGCTGGTGTTTCCCAGGACAGCTTCATTCTATCTCAGCACAGTTTCTTGATGTTGAACAGGATAGAAAATCTGGGGTTGCGAGCTCCTCTTGTAGGTGGAACTGGGCAACTTCTCTCGGTGCTAATAGCAAAGGCCTCATTTTCAGTTTGGCTCTAATGTCTTTTTGCTTTCGAGGTTAACTCTTGAAGCTGCAATTTCCTAGGGAGGACTCCTTGCCTGCAAGCAAGTAATTGGAGCTTGCCTAACGTGCATTCATGATGTGTGGGAGTCACCTGGCTTCACACAGCCTTCCCCTCACCACCCTCCTGGAAGTCAGGTTTGCATGCAGGGCAACAGCAGGCCCTAAGAAACAAATGTGAATGAGGGAGAGCTGTCCATCTGGGAAGGAAGTAGCTCTGCTAAGCAATTAAAAACCCAGGCTTCCGACACTTTGTGTGCATTCAGTATCTGCAGCTGTGTGTATCACAAAAAAAAAAAAGGAAAAAAAATAAATGGAGGAAGAACGATTGATTTCCTTTCCATGCAACGAATGGATTAGGTTATCTGAGCATACTGGAGAGGAATACTTTCACATTCAGCAGGTGTCCTGTGTTTGCTTTACTGCGTGTGTCAGTTTTGTTACCTGGACGTGTGCATTGCACAAAAGATTTTACTCCAGCTCCTTGATTTAAAAGTTGAGAGAAGAAAGGATGGGTGTTCAGAGGAGAACTTGCTCTTGGGGCCCATGGTCAAGCTTACGCACAGGCATCAGTGACCTCCAGATTGAGACTGTGGTTGAGTTGGCCTATCCCCTGTTTTGTTCTCACACTGAATTTTCAATGTGTTTAGAGTTGGCTAGCTCAGGGAACTAGTGTTTTAAATTGACCAAGCGGTGAACAAATTAGGTTTCTCAAGGAAAGGGAAATGACGAACAAGAGGCTTTAATTCTCCTTAATGCTGGGCTTTCTGCTGTGATGCTGCATGCCTGCTGGAGTCAGAGGAAAGAAAAGGTCCACAAGCAAGTGAGCACACAGTTGAGCTCTATTGCCTTTAAAATCAAAGAGAACACTAAGATGTGTTTTAGCTTCCACCCTGTGAACTTTCATGGCTGCTACCACTTGGTGTCTCCTATCAGCCTGTGGCTTGGAGTTGGATTTGCCACATGACATGTTGTTGATGCCCAGCAGAGATGTTACGATGCTGTCAAGCAGTGATCATTTAGGAAATGCCAAGTTGCCTGCTGAAAGTCCTCTAGCACCTGATTCCTTCCCCATCAGAGCAGAGGTCACTGGGCAGGCCAGAAGGGTGGTGGCACTCAAATTCGCCAATATATATATCACAGCAGCATCTTCCACTTGCAGTGCTAGGAACCTCCTTCGACTCATGAAAGAGCAGTTGTGCAGAGCCCTTTGTCTGTACTGAGGGCAAAGATGCTTCCCTGGCAGTGCTTAGAGTCTCCTTTCAGCCTTCGTGAGGGCTGGGAGTGGAGGCAGGGGGGCTCCTTGATGTGTCAGGGTGTCTCCTTGGCTAGGTGACTTGCACCAGCTGTGCTCCAAGCCAGGAGCATGCCCTGCTGTTGCTCTCCACGTGGAGTTACAACTATCCGTCATGAGGAGCGTGGAGCATTTTCTGCTCCTTGGAGGGGCTGATTCACGTTCCTCCTGGTGTGCTTGGGCTGTGCCTGCTTGTTAACAGTTGCTTCTGAGCCATCCTGAAAGCATCTGTGTGCTAGAAAGCCTGTGTGAAAGCGGGCAGGGAAACCGATGTCAGGGAACACGTGGCATCCGTGACCAGGATCTCTGTTGGAGCCATAAACCCTGCCAGGTGTTTGAGATAGGTGCTGGCATTGCTTTTACCCCCTGTGGCTATAGGCCATATGTTACGCTACATGTATTTGTCTCGTAAACGCCTCGATGCCTGCAGCTGAGCCTTGAGGCACCCTACTCACAGAGCATAGCCCTCCCTCCGCCTACCGAACCCCTGTGCAGCCGGCCTGATGAGCGATTTGATCAGATGGCAGGTTTTGCAAGCCGTGCAAACCCAGCTAGTTGCTTTGTTTGTTTGCTTTGAGGGTGCTCTTGTTTTCCTCTCAAGCGTGGCTTCTCTGAGCATGTCGATGCAGGAACCAGGGTGTTGTTACCTGCACGTGGCAGTGGGAGGGACGGCTACGTGCACAACTGGTTAAAATCACCACGGCAGGATTGTATTACCCTGGGCAGTCATTGCTTGCAGCTTCGGGTCAGGATGTGACTGACCTGGTGCTGGAGCAACATCTCTGGTCCTCCTGGGCTGCAGCCAAATGAAGAGAGGAGGTCTTGCACACAAAGGTGGCTCTGAGACACACCCATACTCTCCTAGGCCCGGGCAGTCTGTGGGCATCTGCTTATCCATAATGGAAGAACCACCGATACTTCTGTTATGCTTACTCAGTCCCTCACAGAGACAGAGTGCCTCAGCCCAAGATGTTCTCTGGTGGCACAGTTGCCAAGGGTCCTTTGATGTCTGGATGGAGATGGAGACAGAGTAGACCTGGTTGTGGCACAGTGGACTTTCAGGGACATAGTTTAGTGGTGTGTAGAGTTTGTGTCCTACTGTCCTCGTTTAGAGCTAGGACAAAGGTTGGGACTCGATGATCTTGAAGGTCTCTTCCAACCAAAACTGTTCTATGATTCTGTGACTTGGGGCTTAGCAAATCAGAGTTCCTTTCAGCTACAGGAAAGGCGTGTAACCATCCTTTTTCCTTCTATATCTCAAGCTGCAGCAAGGTATTTGATTTCTTGCTGGAAAATGAAGCCTGACTGTTTGACTTTCCTAATTAAACTTAATTGCTTATTTTAAAGAAAACTTGCGTGTGTGCTCAAACTAGTTCCAAAGCAGAGAAAGAAAAAATGAGTCTGTAGATTTTGTTTTGTTCATCTTGGCTCTAACAATTAAAGGGGAAAAAATTTTTACAGGGTAAATTCCTGCCAGGCACTGAGGAAACTCTGGTTTTTCAGTAAGCTGTCTCTTAGGATGGTAGAAGGAGTGATTTGGGGGAGTTTTAAAAGTTGGCACAAAAAAAAAGAAAATAATGAGTTTGTGCCCGTTATGTCCTATGTAGAGCTACTCTGGACCTCTTGTAACTTTTTTTTCATGCAATCCTTTTATCGTGCTTATTTGAAAGATTAGAGATATTGAAGGTTTGCTTGGTCTGAAACGGAATGGAAAATAAGTTTAATTACAAGAGGAAATAGATTGGAAAGGGAAGATGGTGGCTGGTCTTCTTCCAAAAGCTGGGAAGGTAGTTGGCTAACGAAAAGGCTCACCAGGGGAACTAGGATCCCCAGGCCTTGTATGTGCAATGATGATTTAAAGGTTCTTTGGTGTGAAATGCTCTAGCGTGGACTTCAGTTTCTTGGCACGAGGCATGAATCTTTGCTGAAATTTATGTCTCTCTTATGCAGAGGGTCAGGCTAAATGATCCTCATGGTTCCTTCTAGCCTGCAAAACCTTGATGGTTAATTTGTTTCACGTGCCTCTTAAAGAAAGGAAACAGTGATGCTGGTCTGCATCTTCAGCTGTTGGCTCTCCAGCTGTTTTCATCATAATTAATGGCACCTTCAAAAGGCAGTGCCGTACATAGCTTCTGAAATTTGCTGAATATGCTCGCTTGGGGTAACAAAGGTGTGTAGCACGGCACATCCCGACATCCACCATTGCTGAAAACAGCCAGGACAAATGAGCTTGAGGTGTGCCAAGACTGCGTGTTATGGTGCTGCTGCTGCTGCTGCTTGTTGCCAGAGGGAACAGAAAACAAGAGCGTTACAAAAAAAAGACGATGTTGGGAATCGGATCACCAGGAAAAGAGCCAGGTTTGTTCCTTGCTGGGGAGGTGGTGCTGGCTGGTGGGGCTGTGCTGTGTGTTCCTTGCCAGGAATTAGTCTGTGACTGAGATATTCCCCTGTTTGAGACAGAACATTCCCCTTTTCTTAACATTCCCGAAGCACCCGTTTCTCCTTGGAGCTCAGTGTCAGGGTGTACCTCGGTGACAAAAGCAGACTGGCTACATGGAGCTGCTGTGGCAATTACAAATGCAATTGGGAGTCACACAGGTCCCAAATTTTGACCCTCTTCTTCGTGACGGTGGATGACAGGAGGGACTTGCTTGTCTGGTCTAGGACAAGCCAGATTTTTTATTATTAAAATAATAATACATAAGAAACTCTGGATGGCATCTATTTAAATACATAATTAATAATTAAATAAGTAAATAAAGCAAAGAAGGGAGAGTATGGCTTAAGCAGGAGAGAGAATCATGCTCCAGGACAGGGAGGGGAATGCAACTTTTGGATTCCTCTTTATTTTTTGTCTGAAACTAATCGGGAATTTCTCACGCTGCTTCTGCCAGTGGATCATTTTTAAAAGATTGAGATTTATCAGCCAATTTTTTAGGGGAATTTGTTTCTGTTAAAATGAAAGTCTTTTGCTTTTCTGTGTGTTTCTACCTTGCCACTTAAAAAAGTGAAGAGTTGGAAATTGAAATAAGATTTGTTATCCTCTTCACCACATCAGAGCATGCAGTGATTTAATTTTTGACCATCTTAATCCTGCACGCTATCCAAATTTCCCCTTGAATCTCCAGACTCCAAACCCTTGTTTCAACTTAACCTATGCTACATAAAACCTTTCTGGTACAGGGAGGAGCTGTGTAGTCCT